CGACGTCTTTGCCTTGCAAATGTGTTTTTGCACTTGTTGACAAAACTGTTTTGTGTAACTACTTAATGTGCCCTCATTGCAATGAGTGTCTTCGACAATCACCATGTGGTTTGTTTCAAGGGTCATAAGTTCACTTTAAATGCCCTCATTTATTGAGTGTCTTTCACTGTAGATTGGTCACCCTCACGTGGCCGGGAGGATCACGTACTCCCATAAGCTTCATGCACTGTGCCCTTCTTCGGAAGTGATTACAATCTATTGTTGGTAACTGTTTGCACTTAATAAAATTGTTTGGCCCTTGACTTGAATAGTCGGTTTGCCTTCTTCCCGCCTCCGGGACCTGAGCTTGCTAGTCTCCACAAGTGTGCATTCGCAGAGACCACGAAGAAAAATGGTAGGTTACATACCTGTGACCATCTTTCTTCGAGTGGTGCTCTGCGAATTCACACTAACCCGCCCAGCCTCCCCTCTAAGCAAGCCTCCAATTTCTCGCTACCGTAGCGGCGTAGGAATTGGACCGGTGTGCGCGGGGCGCCCTTTTATCCCCTACCGGGGCTGGGCGGGGTTACCGCCAAAACTTGAAAAGTTTTAAAATGTAGAAGTTTCCGTTGGAGCCCGCGCAGGCGCAGTCTCTCCACAAGTGTGAATTCGCAGAGCACCACTCGAAGAAAGATGGTCACAGGTATGTAACCTACCATTATATGTTTTCATCTGTTTAATAAACAGATAATGTTAATGTCTGCTTAATGTGTTGTATTTGTTTATTTGTATTTACAATGTGGCATTGAATTTTGCCACTCTGAGTCCCCTTTGAGGTGAGATGAGCAAGGTAGAAATATAGTACATAAATAAGTAAATAAATAAAGAGTATTCAGATAAAATATTTCATATTAACCGTTACATTGATATACAGTGTTCCTTCACTTATTGTGAGGGTTACGTTCCAGGACCACCCATGATAAGTGAAAATCTGCAAAGTAGGGATGCCATATTAATTGTAATATTTATATATTATTGGATGTTCTTGGGGTGGCATCAGGGCCTCCAGCGGGCTGCATCCCTGCTCGGAATGAGGAGGTGGGCAAAGCATGTCCGCTCGCAGCCCGACGGAATGAGCAAAAAATGTGAGGGGCCTTTCTGAAGCCCATTGTAATGTAAATATTTTAAATTCATTTTTTGAATCTGTAAAACAGTGAGTCCGCATAAAGCGAACCGCGCAGTAGCGAGGGAACACTGTACATAGATTGCATTGAATAGTTTTTGCAGGCTTCTGGAAGGAGTCATCAGTTGGGTATGACACCTACAACTTTGTTCTCTCTGTTTCTGCGTGTATGCTCTCAGTTTTCTTTTGCCTAAGAGCAAAGCAAGCAGCCATGGTGTCTCAAAATATAGCCAGTAATTTTTATTTTATTCTACATTGTTAAGGAACCTAAGACAAGGGTTCAAAATCTTATTGCACAAGAAGATAGACTGTACATAATAGGTTTTCCCCTTCTTTTCAGGCTATAGTCCCTACAGATGTCAAAATTGAATTCATCAACCGACTTTCCAAAACAGGATTGCCTGTGATAGAAGTGACTAGTTTTGTTTCTTCAAAATGGGTACCTCAGGTAAGTGAACTTAATGATAGCTCCAAGTATTATTTGGAAAGGTCTAGAGTTAGCCTGGTAAACCCTTTCACCATGGCCACCAACACAGATTATACATTCTGTCCTGTTATTCTTTGAGAACAAGATAAAGATGCATTCACTGTCCTAATGTGTAGTCTGGCCTGTAGAAAAGAGGGAGATACAGCAAACCTAGCATCAATTGACCTACCGTATATACTTATAAATAGAGTTTTTCATCCCCCCCCCCTTTTAGGCTGAAAAAGCCCCCCTCGGCTTATCCTTGAGTCAAGGTTATTTATTATTTCACATTATTATTATTATTATTATTATTATTATTATTATTATTATTATTACATTTATTATTTTACTCTATTTATTATTATTGGAAGGATACATAAACACTTATACATTGAAGAAGCTTAGAACAATGGTTTATCCAGAGTTGGATGGTCTTATCTTAAATTACAGTTTTATCTAAATATTCAAAAACATTTAACCTACTGAAGCTTCGATTAATGTTATTGTATTGGTATCTATTTTTATTTTGAAATTTACCAGTAGCTTCTTCATTTCCCAACCTCAGCTTATACTTGAGTCAATAAGTTTTCCCAGTTTTTTGTGGTAAAATTATATATCTCAGCTTTTATTCAGGTTGACTTATATTCAAGTATATATGTATCTGTTTTACTAGAACTTGATAATGAAAATACGTTGCAACCGAATGTGTACATACTGAAATATTTAGAAGTCACAATACCTAAAACAGTGTCTGCTAGCAATACTGAACATCTTAACCAATCACATACCACCCTTTTCAATGCCCCCCTCAATTAAAAAAAAGGAAGAAAATGTGTTTTTCATTGCTCCTTTTTCCCCTGTGAAGTCTTTTGGGTAACAAATTTGGCCTGCTTGTCTGATATGAAGAAAGCGAGAACAACTCCTTTTTTATTCACATTTTGAGTCTGAATGTTTTGTTTTAGGGTCATTAGTTGATGTTTAGATTAAATTTTGTTTATATGCTAAGGCCATGTTACTTAGAAATGGACTGAAGTCTTGATTATGTCTTCTTAGTACTCCTTGCTTTATTTTCTTAAGTCATGGGAATAGTGTGGCCAGTTGTCTTTCCCGTTCTTTCTTTCTCTCTCTTGTTTTAAAAAAAGTATTTTAAAGCTCTTTTTACCATTTCCTTACTAATGTTTTGTTTGGCAGAGGTTTTCTGTCTAAAAACAGCCAGAAGTAAAATGTTCTGCAGTAGCAAGGTGCCATATAAAACAGGATCCCACACCTATAATTGAAATCGCCAAGAATGATAAACGGGTGCCATTGAAATGCTTATTGCTCGAGTATCTTATTGCACTTTGAAGGTTAATTGCAGAACTGTTAAAGTAAGACTCTGTTTACAAAAATAAAACACAATTGAGGAGACAGCTACATTATACAAAATTTATTTTACAATGATTAACTTTCACAGAGTTTGAAAGGCGCTTTCTGTTCAGCTGGTAATTATATTTTCAATTGGGTTGTATTGGTTAAGTGCATGTAGTCCTACTATATTGGTTTTGCATTAAGTTACTGAGTTTCAAAGCTGTCTGCAGCATAGTAAACAAAGATTACACATTTTGTTTCATTAAGGAATTAAAGGCTTTGGAATGGTAGGAGCCAACAAACAGTGAACAGAGATGTAACTTATTATCTAAATTTTTTGGTATGCAAATAGTAGGCTTGTGCATTTTGGGTGAATTGCTATCAGTTTCTGCTTGCCGGATACCGAAAACCCCCCATATCCTTTTTCCAGTGCCTCCTGAAAATGGGCACCCTGCTGAATGAGAGTTTTTGTTCAGCACCTGAAAAAAAATATTTTCAGCCCATTGGTGGTAATGGGGAACTTACAAGACTCCCCCTTCCCTGGGAACCTTTCCTTTCTTCCCTTCAAGGGAGCCTGGGTGTCAGCAATAGGGTTAAGAAAGCACCCTTCCTGGGAGCCTATCCTGTTTTCCTTCAAGGACGCCTGGTTGTAAGCAACAGGGTTAAGAATGCACCCTATCCAGCCCATTGTGTGTGTGTGGGGGACGGGGGACGGGACGACTTCCCACAGGGTCCTCTTCCATATCCTTCATTAATACATGGATTTTAAAAAAGCATCATTTACCACTCTTAATTTTCTTGTCTCTTGCCCTTCTGTTTGTAGAGGAGGAGACTGGGGTTACTGCTTCTTAAAGCTGTTCTACTCTAGAGGAGAAGCAAGTGCCCGCTTTTTTCTCTCCCATCACCAGTAGCTTTCCAAGACATTTTAAGGAAGCCCAGGGAAGGAAGAGTAATGACCTGGAGCTCAGTTGAGTTATCCTCCCTGGACTACCTTTAAAATCCCCTCACTTGCCTGCAAGGCTGAAATCTACTTTCTGCTTGTGGTTTTGCTCCCTTAGACAGAGTATTTCTACTCTAAAGGAGAGGTGTGCTTCTTTTTTGTTTGCTAGGATTACTATTATTAATAGTAATCTTTTTTAGAAGTATTTTCTGAAGGAGAGGAATGGAAGGAGAAAAAGAAGCTAAAAGGGTGAAAGCCCCCAAACGCAGACAACACACCCCAGCCACTGCCCCTCAGGTCCCCAACTCCCAATCAGTCCCACTAAATAAAAAGAATCATGAAAATAAAGGAAGATCAAAAAGATTCAACTGTGATGCCAAACAGGGGAGGAGGAGCTCCCGCTTGCTTTAGTTATTTGTCCCAGGAGGGCCCTTACCATTACGGACTCCTGAAGGTACCAAAGGAAATGAAGGAAATGAAATCCACACACAATCCTAGGAAATAAATGCCATTCTACCCAACATGTACCAGCTATGTAATAACACTAGCAACAGAGCATTTATAATAATTTAAAAATATTAATTCTAATAATAATATTATCTCCATGAACATTTGCAACTGCTCCTTGCCTAGTTTTTTTAAAAAAAAATCTCATGTTTTTGCTTTTAATTTTTTTGTCTTTAAAAGCTACTGGAATTGTAGTTTGACGTGATTTTTGTAGTCTGTACATTTTGATTTCATGGATTGGTTGGTTTGTTTTGTATTATATTGGGTTTTGTTGGGGTTTTTGCATTTTTGAGGTGTTTTGTTTTGCATTTACATTGTACAGGTTTTTTGTTTGTTTGGGGTTATTTTGCTATTCTTCCTTCCCTCTGTTCATCTATGTATTTATACATAGATTTAAGACTGAACAGCTTTGCCCACTGTTTTGGAGTGTTTTAATGTAAAGTCCCATGTCTATTTGATGGTGTTATATAAGTAAATAATAGTAACAACAAATACCTTTAAAAGTTACATTTAATTTTTGATATTTAAGGGAAATTTTTAACTGGCTGGGAGATGTTATTTTTCATTTATAAGTTTTTTATTGTTGTAAATCTGTTTTAATATTTAAATTATACTTGTTTTATTTGAATTTTATTAGGATAGCCATGCTGAGTACTATTTATAAAAAGAAAGGCTGAAAGGTAATTTAGTACTACGGATATGGGTCTTTGCTATTGTTATACAGATTGAGCATCCCTTCTTTGAAATGCCAAAATCCAAAATACTCTAAATCTAAAATCAACCACATGGCTGCCTGAGATAGTGCCCAAACTTTGATTTGTGCACAAAATAATTAAAAATATTGTGTATACAGTTTCCTTCAGGCGACATATAGAAGGTGTGTATGAAATAGAGAATCTGAAAAATGTTTGCAATTTGGAATGATACTCAACCTGTATTGACAAAAACAGATTTTGGGAGTCACATGTGCCCCTTGATCTGTATAGTTTCCACTACTACTTTTGAAACTAATAGCCACTTTAATATAACTACCTTCATGACAGCACTCATTTGGTTCAAATATGCTGAAATTTTGCACTCTTTATTGCCGCACTTTATATTCTGTAATTGGGTATAGATAGCCAAGCACAAAATACATTTGCTTTTTGTTATTTGTGTAAAATTTAATATGCTCAGAAATAAGAATTTGATATTTTATCACTAGGGTTATTTCCAAATACTTAAAATGCAAATATGAATTCTGAAATTATTTACGTTGGTCATTCTACATACATATAACCCCACTTTCTAACGGACTCACAAAAAAAGTAAGAGACATATTTGTTCAGCATATTACTGAAGTTTTGTATTTGGATTTAATCACTCACAACTAACCTAAATCCCATTGAATATGTCAGGCTCTGCATTTATTCTACGGGCTCTCTAATAAAATATGTGCATTGGATGACAGAAGCACCACTTGTATCTAACTGTCTTTGTTACCAGAAGCTAAGTAGTTAGACAAGAATGGGTAAATAGCTAAATGGATAACCATTTCTAGTGCATATTTTTCTTGTTGATAACTGTAAGTAAAATTTTAAAAATCAATCATTTAACAGTGACTTTTGGTATCTGCTGGGATTTGGTTCCAGGACTCCCCTCCCTAAATGAATACAAGAATCACATATACTTAAGTCCCATTATATATAAGGATGTGGTATAATATTGTTCCTTTTGTACAAAGTCAAGGTTTGCTTTGGTAGATTATAAACATGTTTTCAAGCCATGAATAATAGCCTGATCCTTAGATACAGAATCTGTAGGTATAGAGGACTGGCTGTAAATGCCTTTGTTTACAACCATGAGGTTGGTTTCTGATATTGTTGTTAAGACCTTAAGAAAATGAAGCTTCTACACTTTGTCTTTAAGATGGCAGATCACACAGAAGTCATGGGAGGAATAGAGCTATATCCCGGAGTCCGGTATCCAGTACTTACCCCTAATCTTCATGGTTTCCATTCTGCGGTAGGTATAGTGCTTGCTTTATGTGTCTATGAATTAAACCCTAATTGCTCATAGCTGTTGTCTGCCTTACTACATTTTTAAGTTAAGCTGGAATGATTGTGTTTACTTGCTCTATTCCTATGCTACTATACATTCTATCCACCTTATTGACCAGCCTATCCTTTAATTCGTTTCGCATATTGGCTCCTCCCCCCCCCCAAAATGAGTCTGTTGTTGTTTATGATGTTTTTATGCTATTTTAATACTTTAATATTTTCTGTTTTTAATTGTATTTTGCCTTGGGCTTGGCCCCATGTAAGCCACCCCGAGTCCACTTGGGGAGATGGAGGTGGGGTAGAAAAATAAAGTTGTTGTTGTTGTTGTTGTTGTTCTTCTTCTTCTTCTTCTTCTTCTTCTTCTTCTTCTTCTTATTATTATTATTATTATTATTATTATTATTACCAGGGATTGCTGTATTTTCTAGTGAATCATCCCATCTTAAGATATGGTCAAAGATTGACAGCCTCAGTTTAGTTCAGGCTAGATTTACTTCCATCTGTATCTGACTAAGCTTGGAATGGTGGTCTTCAAATAGTGGGTGATTACTGTTGAAAAAGATTTACTGGGAAGAGAAAATGTTGTTTTTAAAGATCATCCTCTCTTATTTTAGATTGCCGCTGGGGCTAATGAAGTGTCAGTCTTTGGTGCAGCATCTGAATCTTTCAGCAAAAAGAATATTAATTGCTCCATAGAAGAAAGCATGGAAAGATTTGAGGTTGTTGTGAAAACTGCAAGAAACATGGACATTCCAGTGCGAGGGTAATAATCATACATGTTCACAATATGATCATTTGCTGGATGCCCTGTCACAGAGTGATTTTTTTCTTTAATGAAACATAAATGTAAAATGTTAGGTCATATAAAATATGTTAGGGTTGGTTATTTCTTTGCTGTGTGTTTCTGTTGCTGCTTACATATATGTATTAAGTTAGTCATTTTCAATTTAAGGTCTCCTGCCTTTTCAATGCATTCTTCCATTTTCTTCCTTACTGCAAAAGATTTTAAGACGAAGAAAAAATGGAACCGCTGCAAAATTTTATTTAACTGCTAACATGATGAAATGTTAATCAGAAACTGTTCTTTGCCTAATTACACATGGGTGACAGAACAATGATTTGGTTGATTTGTGGGGATGTGTGATTTTCTTTATTGCTGTATGTCACATTTTTAATGGCTTGAGAGAGAAATCTTGGGCCTGGGAATATAAAATAAGTCCTCTCTCCTGGCAACACAAGTGCTCATCCTGGAGAGGAATATAACACAAATTAAAAATAGATTAAGCAAAGTGGATCATAAATCAGAGGAATAATTTTGTGGGGGTGATTTGGTAGCAAATAGCATGAAAGAAACGAAAGTGGATAAAAGATTGGGCATTTTTGAGGTAGAAAATTACCCATAAGCTATAGATTTTTTTTTTGGAAAAAAACCCTAATTATACATTTTTAAAAATAAAGAATACAGTGGCTATTGGATTTATATTTGTCCTTTCCTAGTTGCTACTGTTTGTGGTGATTATATTTTACTGTGAACTGCTAGTCGAGAAAAATATGGCTGTAGTCCTGTTCTCTGCACAATATAGAATATGTTATGAAATATAGCAGAATCGTGCTACAAATGTCTATTATACAGCCTACCATTCTTTTCTTGGGGTCTTAGTTTTTAGACCTGTTCCTGGGGTTTTTAGGAGCACTGATTCAGAAAATTGCATTAGATAGACTGCATCAGCTCTAGTTTCTTAGATACAGTTAGTTATTGTGGTTTTCTATGGGCGAGCACATGGCAACTGGCAAATGGCATATGTTCTGTATCAGAAAAACTATAGCTGATGGGAGAAAACTGGTGCCAGTTTTGGCATCGGCAGATCAAATATACCCAGAAACGAGACTAATATTTGAAGCATTAAAATGTATGTTGGCTAGTGTTATGAGGAGCGGCTTAAAGAGCTGAGCATGTTTAGCCTGCAGAAGAGAAGGCAGAGAGGAGACATGATGGCCATGTATAAAAATGTGAGGAGATGTCACAGGGAGGAAGGAGCAAGCTTGTTTTCTGCTGCCCTGGAGATTAATATGCGGAACAATGGCTTCAAACTATAGGAAAGGAGATTCCACTTGAACATTAGGAAGAATTTCCTGACTAGGTTCTTGTGGGTTTTTTCGGGCTATATGGCCATGTTCTAGAGGCATTTCTCCTTGACTGTGAGAGCTGTTCAGCAGTGGAAATCTCTGCCCCAGAGTGTGGTGGAAGCTCCTTCTTTGGAGGCTTTTAAGCAGGGGCTGGATGGCCCTCTGTTGGGGGTGCTTTGAATGCGATTTTCCTGCTTCTTGGCAGGGGGTTGGATTGGATGGCCCATGAGGTCTCTTCCAACTCTATGATTCTATGATGTACTTTAGGGTGTGAAGTGAATTAGATGAGCATGCCCTGTGGCTTTCTATATGATTTGATACTTGCTTTATGTTATCATGCTTTTAAGTGTAGTTGAAATTAAAATAAAATTATCCATACAGAATAACTTTAGTAGGAGAGAGGGAGCTATGTTTTTGCTTTTACCCCAACAAGCTGCCCTCAGTCCATTTGACATATCTGCATAACAGCATGAAATGGGAAAGAAAGGTTCATGCAGTGGCAGCATCACTCCAGAATGAACCAATTTGAGGTACTCATTGGCTGCTGATTCGGTGATATTAATTATCAAATATATCTTCATCATTGAAGAGGAATGGAGCAAAGAATCTACTTTCAGAAATAGATTTTGAGATATTTTCTCCTGTTTTACCTGAAAATCTATAAAAATTAGGCAATAGGTAGTGATCCTCCAAGTTGCCCGTTGACTTATGGTGACTTCTTGAATTTCATAGAGTGTTTTCTTAGGTAGGAAATACTAGGAAGTAGTTTCGCTACTCCTTTCTTCAGAAATACAGACTAAGAGTACTTGGTATTCATTGATAATCTCCCACCAAAGTTGCCCTTGCTAACTTCCAGATCTGGTGCCCTCAGGAAATTTAAGCATTTCCAATAAGCAGCAGCACTAGGCAATCTATTGGAAAATGGCCTTGAAATCTTTACTTTGAGGGGGTGTTTCGATAGCTGCCACGGCACTTACTAAACTTGCATGTTGCCAGCTGTCAGACTAGTTAGGCAGTAAAACATATTTATGTTTTAACTGAAATATTGTAACACTTGTTCAAAGGATTTTAAAAAATGTTATTATGTGGTCTAAATGCATCTCATAAAGGTTATTTCATAGTCTCGTATAATGAGAGGCGTACGTATGGCAATGGAGGTGACCTTGACAGCTATAGGTGTTCTTGGCTTCAGATAATTTGCATATTATGCCCATTCTGAGATCTCTATGACAGTCTGCCAGTGAGCCACTAAGCTCAGTTCAAAACCTTGGCATCAGCACACAGTGTCTGTGTGTGCCTTCAAGTCACTTCTTCACTTTAGATGATCCCCTGAAATTCCTTCCTTGAAATAATGCCTACAGTACCTTGTATGGTACCTTGTACCTGCTCCCATCCAGCTACTAATCAGATCTGTCCATGTTTAGTTTCCAAGATCAGATGGAAACTGGTGCCTTTAAGATATTTAAACCTAGCTTGAAGTACAAAGCCCTAACTGGATCAGGTTTTTAAAGGAGTACCCAATCCAGTGGCAACTCAACTGGAATTTGAAATTAGCCGGGGAACATCTGTTTATGGTGCCTCGAAGTATTGTTGCTTGTCGGACTACTGAATGTGCCAGGGCTTTCCTAGTGGTGTGCCTCAGTTATGGAAGTCTTTTCTTATAAAAATCCATTTGTGCTTCATGGGGCACTAGTTAAAACATATCTGTACAATGTCTGAGGTAACATACAAGCTTTTGGTTTGTATATAGCTGCTGCTCATTCTTTTGCTTTTCTTTCAATGTACTGGTATGAGCACATATGTTTTTAGATATTTGTCATTTTAAATGCATACTTTGTGATTTTAGGTCAAGATCTTATTGAATAATTCTATGGTATGTAGGTCTGTTGGCGGCTAGTTGTCATCATATATAATCAGAACCTCCAGACAAAGAGAATAGATACCTCTGAATGCCGATATCAGCAGTAAAAGGATGTTTATATTCTTGGTGATAGTTTTTGTGTTTCATCATTATTAGTTTAAAGCAGGAAGAGACAACTGTGGCCATCCAGATGTTTTTTGAATTCCTTCACTATTGGTTATGATTACTAGGATTGATGGACGGGGGCTGTTGCCAAAAACACCTGGAAAGTCACAAATTGACCACCCTTGCTGTAACGGTATCCAGTTATCCAATTATGACATCCGATCTAGCAGGACTCTTCATATGTTCTCAGCAACATGGGAATATGCTATCAGACCAGAGCCAAAATCTCTTGACATCTAAGTACTAAGTACATATTTTTCATATTAATACATTATAGAGAAATTGCTTAGGGTGCAATTCAGATTGTAGAGAAAATCCAAGTGTATATATATTATTCACTTACATACTAGCAAGAATAATTTACAGTAGAAGTGGGCATAAAATTGCTGCTAGCCATTTGAGTATTATGATTATTAGGAAATGTGACTGTAATACATGGGCAAAAGGTTAAGCAAATATATTGTAGTTAGACCAGAGGCCAGTACGCTACAGGTGGAAAAAAGTGTTACTTGTAGATAAATTTGATTCCAGAGTTAGCCAAGGAACTCGTTGGGAGGTCTTGGCAAGTCATTTTGACTTTCTATAAAATGTACCTCACATATAGCATTATGGAGGGGCGGAGGAAGGAGACAATAAGCATTGCAAAACATCAATTTTTTTTTGCAAATACTTTTACTGACCTCAGTCCACCTGTCATTTAATACAGTTCTAAAGAGGTGAGTTAGGAGAAGCCATGTTGATTCTAGCTTTAATATACTTTCTACAATTTTCCCAAAACAGACATTGGCCTTGCAATTTCCTGTTTCTACCTCAGATCCCCCCCCCCCCTAAAAAGTAACAACAACTTGTGTTGTGGTTTACACCAGTGATTTACTTACTCAATTCAGTTTCTGCTTCATTCCTGAAATTCAGCGTAGTGTATGAAGGAACTAAATCTGATGGAAATACATTAACATCAAATCTGCTTTATGGACATAAAAGTTATTTGTGTTTCCTTAGCAATGGTTTAATATTTTATGCCTGATAAATTGCTACGCCTAGCAACGGCCCAGCCGGCATTCACATTCACTAATCCTTGCATGCCAATGTCAACTGAGATTTAAGTATCTGTCTGCATTTTTTGGTAGCCATTATAGGTGACTCTTGCTATAGTTGATTTAACAGCATGTCTATCCTGGATCAATTTCGATGAATTTTGAGTCATACTGAGCGCAGGTCATGAATATGTGCTTTTAAAGGCAATTGTGTGCTACACAAAATGTTATACAAGTATCTGTGGCTTTGTTAGTTTCAAGTGCCCAAGATACTATAGAAATGTTTGAATGTTATGTATGTTATGTATATAACAACTATATACAGCCAGTTCCATGGGTTATGATCAAGATAGGCTCTGTAGGTTTGTTCTTAAGATGAATTTGTATCTAAAGTGGAACAGGTATATTTTTAAGTTTGACTCCACCCAGTTTCTTCGAGTTTTGGATATCATTGGGAAGGGTTAACACCCCTGTAACATTTATTTTGCTGTCTGTGCCCTTGTTCAGAATATTTCACCTGTCTCTGTGAAAACTGAATTTTGAAAATGTTGGGTTGTTGTGGAAACAAGGATTGGTGATAGTTCAATTTTGCCTTTCCCAAAAGGGGTGTGCAACTCTTATGCGGAGTGACAATTATGCAATGGAATATGGTATTTTGTGCTGGAAAGCTGTGTGAATCTCTTTGCAGGTCTATGTGCATGCTTGTTTGTGAAATAACATGAAAGGGGAGAAGTCATTCAAAAATTACCAAGCAAAATCAAATAGTTCTACATCTTTCAGAACCTGTTATTGTTGTTGTTATGTTTATTTATACTCCATTTTTTCTCTCCACAATGAGACTGAGAGTGGGTCTGTAGTCAAAACTATAATCATATGTACTCATGTATAAGATGACCTCACGTATAAGTTGAGGGCAGGTTTGGGGGTTCAAATTATGGATTTTGATATGGCCCATAGATAAGTTGATGGCCATTCCACAGAGAAGGGAAATCATTAAAAACATCTCAGGAAGCCAACTGTTCTTGGTCGCCACCACCATTTCTCCATCCAGGTATTCAAAAAGGCCAGAAGAAGAACTGTAGTGGAGTGAATAGAAGGGGGCTAATGCTTCTTTTAGGTTCTCCTGGGATGGCCTACAATCTCATCTTTTGCCACTCTTCTCAAACAAGAGAATGGTTCCCTTTTGGTAAAGGTTATAGTATAGTATTCATGTTGAACTGTGTACATCAGCCCAGGTTTTTAGGGCTGCTTTTGTTTTATTAAAATTTCTAGACTTATACATGAGTGTAGGCAGTCCCTGAGTTACAAACACATGACTGATGTTCAAGTTCTAATTACAAATGGGGAGACAACAGGAAGCGAGAGGAAATGTATCCCAGGAAGGGATATTAACTCCTGAAAGAATTACTACAGATAACTACAGTTTTGCCTCTTCCTGCATAATAATCACATCCCTTGACCTGTGCTTCTTGGGAGGGAAAGCATGTGGGTGTGTGAAGCTGTGAGAACTGGCAAGCTTACCTAGCTGCTGCCTGCCGATCGAGGGTGATCAACTGGCAGTAGTGAGGGAAGCTGAGAGAAGTCTCCAAGCTATCTCCATCAGGTACAGGCATGGAAGCAAAGCCTACAGGGCCTCCTTCAGCTTCTGAAGCCAAAGGATACTATGTAGGAGTCCCTCGCCTGCCAGTGGGTGAAGTCTACACAACCTCCTTTGGCTGCTGGAAGCCAAAGGAGGTCCTTCAGGACTCACTCACACCCCACAGGCCTCCAATATTTCATTGCATCATAGTCACGTATTCTTTTTTTGAAGAGAAAATGGGGGAAGTGTGACTGTTATGTGGTGAAATACGATATTTGGCTGCTTGAAAACATAGAGCTTTCTTTGAGAATATATCAAGGGCCATATTAAAACTTTGCTTTGGGAGGGATGTCTGACAGAAACCTCTAGTGAAAATAAATATCTCTGCAATGAACAGTGTAAATTATATGGAAACATACAATGTAATAATAAACAGGAAGCTACAGCATCTGTAACCATGACTAGTTTCTCAGGAGGCTCTCTAGTAGCACTAGCAGCTGTGTGTATGTATATATTTCTGTCTGTGTCTTTGTAACCGTCTCAGGTTGGACTGATTTTGCTGCTGATAAGTTTTGAGTCAGATCATTTCCAAAGCTTCTTACATGTGGTTTCCTTCCTCCATGCACATAGTTCTTAAAGACCAGCCACATCACATCCATATTAAAATCTGATTTTTAGTCAAAGTAGGTTTCAAAGTAGAGGATCCCAGCTGTAAAGCCACAAGATCTGTTCTTCCTTCTGCATTTAGATAAACAACACTTTTATCTCTTTCTCCTTTTGGGCAGAAGAGCAGCAACTATATTCCTCCAGATGTTTTTGGACCCAAACTCCTGCTTGCCTTTAACCATAGTAGTTTGACCTTCTATGAGTTGAAGTCCAAAAACATCTGGAGGGTAATTTTTCCCTACCTCTGCTATAGAGCGTTTGATACATACCTTTAAAATCGAGATTTTTAAAAAAAATTGCTTCCTAAAGCAGAATGCACTCTATGAGGAAGGCAAAAAGAATTGGCTTAGCAATGAAACTCTTATCAAAAACTATTTCTCCTTTCTTTTGAAGATGGCAAAAAGCATTTTTTAAAATATAGATGTAAATACATTTCCTAAAGGACTGTGTATAAAGATACATCTACATTGTAGAATGAATGCAGTTTGATACCACACTAACTACCATGGCTCAGTGCTATAGAGTCAATGATCACAACACACACTGAGTCCAAACAGTCCAGGAAATTGAAATCCTGTTGTATCCCTTATGTAGCAGATATATGGAAAATATTCTCTTAATTTTCTGCGTTTGTCAATGATTCTATTTCTTTGTACTGAAACATATTTGTATAATATAATAAACTATTATGGGAAGTTACAAAATATGTGAGAATAGCATGTGTTAGTGGTGTTTAGCTGGAAATTTCCAGGAATTGGTTGAGAGTGATCCATTACTTAAATTATAAAACAGTTCCCTTGACCAAGACTTTCCATGTAAAACACAAAGCCCCTTGCAATACAGGATTTCCAAAAATTATATTTACAATGAGATAGGTTAAAGCTTAAAGAAAGTTAGCTCCAAGACTCCAAGGCTGTCATAAAACCTAGACCCCATTTCCCAAACAGAAGGTTAGCAAACAGTTCAAGACCAAACCTCCTTTCCCTTGCTATCAGAGCTAACCAAGACAAAAGCAGAGGGCAACCTTTGAACTCTCTTCTCCCAAAAGTGAGCTGAAAGCCTTTCCATTTCAGTGTTCTGTGGAAACATTCCTGTGCTGATTCCCATAGATCATTGATTTTCAATGTTTGATCCTCCCAACGTTGATTCATATCTTCTCTGAGGATCACTGCCTATTGACTTCTTGGCTGGAATGTTTAGGAGTTGAATCCAAAACATCTAAAGAACCAAATAGTGCATATGAGAACAACTGTCATATATTTTAATGCACAGATTTGTTACATATAGCTACAATCCTCTAGAATAGCCGATTCTTGAGAAAGCTGTGGTTTCAAATCAGTTGCATGAGCCTTTCAGAATTATTATGAGGGAAAGTACTTGCCAATCACATAGGATGGGATATTGGGACCTGGACATTTCGTGTGTTGGTATTGATATCCCTTAACTGAATCTCATATCGGCTTTGTGGGTAACATGGTGTAAATATTTAATACAGAAATTCAACAAAAGGCAGAGGGGTGTTCTTTCAAATGCATGCTTGCAACAGTTAGAATCATGGAATCATAGAGTTGGAAGAGACTTTGTGGGCCATCCAGTCCAACCCCCTGCCAAGAAGCAGGAAAATCGCATTCAAAGCAAAGTTAGTATTCTTCAGTATTGAAGAATGTTTTTGTTTGTAAGGTGGTGTACATATCTTACAAATATATCTGTCTTCTTTTGTTATTTAGGTATGTTTCTTGCGCATTGGGGTGCCCTTATGAAGGAAGTATTGCCCCAGCTAAAGTTGCACAAGTAAGTCTACTTTTAAAAAAGAAAGATGCAAATATATGTCTGAAATACATTTTTGAATGATACCTTCTGCAGATATGGGAAATTTCAGATATACAGAGTTAGTGAAAAGGGTGTTATACATTATTATTATTATTATTATTATTATTATTATTATTATTTTACTGACACAAAAACACAGTATGTCACAGCAAATGAGATCTATATGCTGGATTTCGTATCACAAAATCACAAGTCGAACACTTCCCAAGTGTCTAGGACTGCGTGATGTATTTCCGAATGATGCACGCAGATCCAAGTCAGGTGGCTTTTTGCAGATGACAGATTGTGATTTTGTCAATGTTTATTGTTTCCAAATGCAAGCTGAGATCTTTTGGCACAGCACCCAGTGTGTCGATGACCACTGGGACCACCTGTACTGGTTTATGCCAGAGCCGTTGCAGTTCGATTTTGAGGTCCTGATAACAGCTGAGATTTTCCTGTTGTTTTTCCTCAATGCAACTGTCGCCCAGTATGGTGACATCAATAATCCAAACTTTTTTCTTTTCCACAATCATGATGTCTGGTGTATTGTATTATTATTATTATTATTATTATTATTATTATTATTATTATTATTATCACCATCATTGTCGTCGTTCAGGATTTCCTTTGTGAGTAAAGAGGACTAGAGTGTTAAGAGGACTTTTCATGGTCTCACTTTACTTATGAATAATAAACATAAACTGTAAAAGGGGAATATACCTAAATTCTTAGGTGACATTAGTTTCAGATTTTTTTTAAAAAAAATGTAATTTATGCTGTAGTTATTCAACAATTTATCAAAGAAAACATTTCAGTTCTAGAAATTTCCCATTAGCAATCAAATAAGAAAAGGAGGGCACTTTCTTCATTTGATATCACACAGTAACATGCCTGTTGCATCTTGTTATCAGGGGCACAAATCATGAAGCACTTCTGCACAGACTGAGGGTGACTCTAGTCTGTAGAATTTATGCAGTTTGACACCACTTCAACTGCTATGGTTAAGTGCTATGGAATAATGGGAGTTATAGTTTGGTGAGGCATTCTTCGGCAGAGAAAACCTTGTAAAATTACATTTGATATGATTTAAGAATCAACGCAACCATGACTTTGCCTTGGACTTAGCACATGGTGCTGTTTCTTTCATGCCACCCTACCAGTGGGAGACAACCTGAAAAGCATTTCTTTTGCCAACACAAATAAAAGAAATGCCTTTCAATCCTCTCCCACTGGGAAAGTTGTGGGAAAGAAGTGGCATCGTGATAAATCTAAAGCAAAGACACTGTTTTCCTGCTGTAATCTTGATTTCCCTGTCTCATGTGATAAACTCCCTAGTGATGATTTATCAAAGGTCAGAAATATGGAGCTTTTTTTCATCTGGCATAGAAACATACATATATAATGCTTTTCATTATATATTTTCATTATATATTATCATGTACCAGGAGAGGGAAGCCTGAGTGTTTTAGATTATGACTCTTTATCTGCAAGTGTTTCTGGATGTTGACGTTCAAAATATCTCAAGCCGAAAGGTTTCAAACTGTTGAAGGAAACCCTCTGTTAAAAGGCTGAAGCAAGGATGTAATGAAATAGAAGTGGTTAGTTAGGATATTTCAGTTTCCAGCTTCAGCTGATGTTGAATCATAGTGGCCCATTCCCAGTATTGCAGCAATATTCTGGAAGATGCATTGATATGAATGCACCTACGTAATCACTATTTAATAATACGGGGCATGACCATCCATATGTTTTGCCATCTGCAGGGTTGTGGAAGTGAACCCCCACAGGCCCACTATAGTTGCTTGCCTTGGGAGAAAAAAATAATGAGACGTTCCTTGTAATGCACCCCAAATCTGGGAAAGATGTTTTCTCCTTCTCTGTTATTACAATTACAGAACTACATTTCTGCTGGCCATCATTTTCTTTCTCAGAAACCTTCTATCTTATACTGATTTTTGGCCAGAGTATCTGTTTACATTGAGTTTATCACAGTTCTTCTCCCAGAGCAGATATATATCCTGTTGCTTTACATTTCTGAAGGAGAGCAATTTTCTGATTCAGGTGGTTTTCATGTAAATGAAATAAAATGAAATATGGGTGATGACAGCTTTTGCTGTGCTGTTCCCAAATTTCCTATTGCAATTCCATATTGGACTCCGTTCTCCAAAAGACCTCAACAAGTTCTGCTGCCCCTTTGGTCAATAGGAGCCTCGAGCCTCCTTCAGTATTTTCATAGGAATGCAGTCTTTCAAGGGAGAGGAGCCTTTACAAATATACTCTATTTTTCTTTCCAATGCCTTTTTTAAGCTTCCTCATTATGCAGAGGAGAAATGTAGATCAGATGTGTCAATTAAAAACCCCCCATCTTCCTAACCATTGGAGAAAGCTATGTTTCAGAAGGTTTCACAATGCATGTGGGCCTGTTGCATAATCTGTGTAAATTGGGTGCTATGTTGCATCCTGAAGAGCATGTTTTCTTTATACAGATTTTAAACCCTATGCAGAAAAAAAGAAGGGGGGGGGGCCTGATCCATATTCAAGAAAAAGACACCTTGACTTTCATACGTTTTCATCTTATGTTATACCGGTCCAGATATCCATTTTATTCTGAATATTTTAGTCAAATGCAACACCCAGCATTAAATTAATGTTGAGTGGAACAAATGAGACTGAATATTCTCAAATTCTTGTAAGTGCACAGACCTGCATGGGGTACTCACATCTCACAAATTCATCAATGACAAGTTCTGTAAGGCTGAAATGGGCCCTCTGGTGGTCCAGCAGATTAAACTGCTGAGATGCTGAAATTGCTGACCGAAAGATTAGTTATTCGAATCCAGGGAGTAGGGTGAGCTCCCACTGCTAGGCCCAGCTTCTGCCAACCTAGCAGTTTGAAAACATGCAAATGTGACTAGATCAATAGGTACTGCTTCTGCGGGAAGGTAATAGCACTCCATGCAGTCATGCTGGTCACATGAGCTTGGAGGTGTCTTCGGACAACGCTGGCTCTTCGGCTTAGAAATGGAAATGAGCACCACCCCCCAGAGTCAAACACAACTAGACTTAATGTCAGGGGAAACCTTTACTTTTACTAAGGTTGAAAAAGAGAAGAGGAAAACAAGACACCTTGGGAATTATATGGAAAAAATGAGGAAAAGGTGATTAATGAGTGTTTTCTGTTAATCTCTTTTGTTCCTTAGAAATTCTTACAATATATGTGAATGTTTACAACATAATTACAGATCATTTTCTACTTTCCTCATTATCCTCTTGCTTATGTGAAACTGTCTCTTTCCCTTCAACCAGATCTCAAAAAGGCTCTACAGTATGGGGTGTTACGAGATATCTTTGGGCGACACCATTGGTGTGGGAACACCAGGAAGTATGAGAAGAATGCTGGAATCTGTTATGAAGGAAATCCCAGTGACTGCTATTGCAGTCCATTGTCATGATACATACGGTCAAGCTTTAGCCAATATCCTTACAGCTTTGCAGGTAACTTCCAATATTTGGTATTGCTCAAGAACAGTTTTCTCAATGTCTGGTTTAATGTGATTTTGATTTAAGTTGTGTGTATTGGCACACCATGTTGGAAAAGGAGGTAAAAACAAACACAGGTATGTGCTACATCATTTGGTGTAACTTTGATAGGAAAGATCAGCTTCCCTAGCAATAAGATCCCTATGGCACGGTTCTTTCTAGATTAGGGAAACTCTGCCATTGGAAAAGCTATAGCTCTGTGGGATATCATATGCTTTGAATGTTTACAGGTTTGGTCCCAGTATTTCAAGTAAATGGATCCAGTGGAAGGGACTAGGAAGCTCCTCTGGCCTAGATGGTGAACAGCATACTGTCATTCATTGTGTACAATGAATGGACTAGATAGACTAGTGGCCCAGCAGTGTAATACAACTTAATGTGGAGAGCTTGAAATAAATCATTTTCAAAAACTCCCACAGCCAGCATGGCCAGTGATTGTTCTGCTTGGAGCATTCTGGGGATTGTAGTATTAAAAGTCACCTTTCCAAAGAGACTACATTGATACCCTAACACATATCACTGACTTCCTTGAAAGAATATTTAAACAGGGAAGAGTGTATTAATACTGCAATATTGCTTGCTTCTGCTATCATGCTGCTATCCACTGTTCTTTCTCATAAACCATTCAGTGACAAAACTCACTGAAAACAACAAACAAAGACCCCATTTACAATGCCACATATTCCAGTTTAAGCTGCATTGTAATGGTCAGTGTAGACCAGTGGTTCTCAACCTGTGGGTCCCCAGGTGTTTTCGCTTACAACTCCCAAAAATTCCAGCCAGTTTACAAGCTGTTAAGATTTCTGGGAGTTGAAGGCCAAAACATCTGGGGACCCAGGAGTTGAGAACCACTGGTGTAGACACATATAATGCAGATTGAATCACATTGACCTGGATTGTATGAGTCTATACTGCCATATAATCCAGTTCAATGCAGTTAATCTGCATTCTGAAAATAGATTATATAGCATTGTAGTTGGGGGCAAATAAAAAAACACATAAAGAAACCTATTCATTTCACATTACTTGCAAACTGGGTGAAGATTAAAAAATAACTTGCTTTTATTGCTCAAAGCCAAGAGTGTTCGAATCAGACATAGTTGTGCTTTGAGCAGAAGTATTGATATGAGTTTTAAATTAGTCAGGATGATTTCTCCTATTTATTTAACTGGGTTTGCTCTATAACAGGTATCTTCAAACTACAGCCCTCCAGCTGTTTGGGTCTTCAACTCCCAGAATTCCTGACAGTTGAACAAGCTCATTAGGGCTTCTGGGAGTTGGAGTCCCAAACAGCTGGAGGGCCTCAGTTTGAGGATGCCTGCTTTAGAGGAAGGAACTGGTCAGACCACCACTGAATACTATTTGTCTAAGGGAAAACGCTTCATAAAAATCATGGAGGTCACCATAACTCAACAGACAACTTGAAGACACAAACACAGAGAGACACTGAGACTGTATTCACACTGCCATATAATCCAGTTTCAGAATGCAGATTAACTGCAGTGAACTAAATTATATGGCATTGTAGAGTCATATAATGCAGTTCAATGCATTTAATCTGCATTTTCAAACTGGATTATATGGCAGTGTGGATCCAGCCTGGGTAGACCTGACTCTAGATCCAAACCATTGGCTGTTGGGTAAATGGTTGGAAGAAACTTCTTAGATTTCAGTGGTTCAATGTAACATAGCATATTAAAATTTCTGGAGCCCCAAGTACAAAACTACTCCATATACAGTTTTCTGTCTGTCTGGTCTATCTTTTTCCTGTGCTTTGTTGAGGAAGATACTGAAATTGGAAGTACATTTAGGAGTGTATATATTTTTCCCTGACCCCATTTGGTGACTACTGAGGGCCCTTCCACACAGCTATATAACCCAGAATATCAAGGCAGATAATCCACAATATCTGCTTTTAGTGAGGCTGTTAAAGGCTCCTCCCTCAACCACAAACCCCAGAATTCTGCAGGAGGCAGAAACCAGATTTTAAGTGGATTTTTGATCTAGTGTGATGAGGCCCTCGGGATGTCTTTTCAATAAGAAAATGCACCCCCGTCTGTAAACTGGACACCCCCTCCAGTTGTCCACATGTATCTACTGGTATCTGAGTTCTTATATTTTTTTTCCCATGTAAAGTATACACTTAAGTTTTTGATAGGGATTGTGCAATCAACATATCTTTGTAAAAAAAATGTCTTGGAGGCAGAGATAAATTAGCAAAGCATATGGTAGATGTTTAAATAAGACTAAATAAAATCCCTGAATAATTAAAACATTTAACAGTCTTAATCATGTGTCATTTAGCTGATTATGAGCCATAAGTTCTTGCATGGCTCACTATTATCGCTTGTGGGTTTGATACGTTCTTTTGAAACTTTGGCCAAGAACACCATAATTCTACTCCTTACTGTTTTCTGTTCTAGCGGAGACCGTATACTTCCACCTCTGCTCTTTCTGTGGTTCTGTAGTTCACAGAAAGGTCAGGTGCTGCTTTTCCATGTTTTCTTACTCCCTCACTACTGAGAATTAATCCCAAAACTTTTGCCCATCAAAGCTGGGTTGATTTCTAACTGAAGTAAGGAGCTCCGTGGTAATAGTTTATCCAAATTATAAGCAAAGTATGCATGGGCTGCTAGGCTTGGCATAGTATCTGCTAGCTTCCTATTAGTAAAAACTCACAGCTATTAATCATTGTATTGTTTACCAAAAGGGCAATTACAGTGTGATTATATGTTCTTAAAACTAATGCATTATTGGCAGCTTCATTACTTTTATGGCCATTTCCAAACTGCTACCTAGCCCAGATTGTTTGGGTCAAAATAGATGAGGAAATCTCACTACAATCAGTAGCTGCTATGATGACATCCTAAAACAGTATTGGATGTTGATCATACTATTGTAATATAATATTAGACAAACCAGATGGAGCTGCATGCAATTTTTTCTAGGACGTGAGGTTTCATATGTGTTGTTTTAATAAAAGTAAACCGTGATAGATAGCTTAGCCAAAACATCCAGAGGTTAAGATGACTGTGCTCAAGCCATTTACACTGAAATGACTTTCAAAAATGATTTCTGCTGCATCAGTGACTTGAGGACTCAGTTAATTGTTGAAGCGACTGGGAGGAAAAAAAATGTATAAATTTGATGGGATTTCACTTCTGTTTTAAAAGGGGCAGGTTTTGTGCAAATGCAAAAAGCAGATGAAATAATATTTCAAAACAATAAGATTTTAACAGGAGAATGCTGAGGCTTTGCCTGGTGATTGAAACTTGGCTGAACCCACAAAGTTGGATATTAAAATATCAGACTGTAGAATTTATAGAAGTGACAATGTCAGCAAGAAATAGGAGGTGTGGCTGGTTGTTTAAATAAATAGAGGGAAAGGGGGTATGAGTAAAATTGCATGTGCAGAGTGGTTAACATGACAAAGGCAACGTTTTGCTTAAACAAAGGGCAAAACATTATTTATAGGAAATTGTTATAGACCTCCAAGGGAGTGGGGGAAATGAATCTTGGATTATTTACTCTAAGGAAGATCCTCCGTTAGGTTAGAAATTAGATTATGAACTGCTGTAGATTTAAGCTGCCTTGACACTACCGGGGATAGCATTTATAGATGAAGTAGTGCTTTTTGTGTAGACCTGAAAAGTTTTGTTTTTAAAGTGATGTCTCTTCAAGTAGCAAAATACTTTTTGTTATACATTTATTTGTGTCATAATATTTACTTGTGTTGTAATATTTACTCAAGTCTCACACTCATCTTTTTTTGGCAGAATTGCATTGCTAATAGAAGTGCACATTAGATTCAATGGCATGTTAGAATTGTGCAGCTAATAGGCTTGTGCAACCTGGGTAAACCTTGACCCGTTTCACATCCTGGCTTTCGGTAGGGGGCCCTGATCCATTCTTTGGGAACCTCCCCAAATCAGGAAGACAGATACCTGTTTTTGTTGTGGGGTGCTGAAAGATACATTTTCTATTGGCCCATTATGGGGAGAGGGGGCTTCCCAGGCTCCCTTCCCATCATTTTAGGCATTTAAACTAATTCTACTCTAGAAGAAAGACAGGTAGGTGCATGCTTTAAGGAGGCTTCTTATCTGTTTCTTTACTCTAGAGGAGAGGCTGGAGGCTTCCCGGGCCTGCACACCACACACACACACTTTCCAAGGCAAGGAGGCATGCTCTCTTTATTACTCTAGAGGAGGCGCTCGGGTGCAGGCTGGCACGACCGCTTTCTGAGCCTGCATGCCACACACACACTCTTTCCAAGGCAAGGAGGTTGTTCACAAAAAGCAGTTGAGGAGCTGGGATCAGCTCCCACTTGCTTTCCTGTCGAGCTGATTTTCATACCTGAGGGGGCTTCCTGTTATGTGCTCCCAAAGGTAATGAAACTAACGAAAGAACAGATGTAATGAAGGAAAACGGACCCGTGCACAACTCTAGCACCAAAACCCATCTGTGTTGTTGGGCAAGAGATCCCAGCTGGGGACAGAGGAGGGAGAGGCAACGCTGGCTGTAAAAAGGCTGGAGGAAAGTTGATGATGGTTGCAAAATGGTTGGTGGGAAGACCAGATGGAGGAGCATGGCTTCCCACCAGCCTTTTTTGCGGCCATCATTGCCTCACATTATAATTGACAGGAAATCCTTTTTTTCGGGGGGGGGGGGGGATGTACATCTTCAAAATTAAGATGTGCATTACATTCAATGGTGCATTGTACTCAAATAATTATGGTACTCTTGGTGAAAAACAGTTCTTGTTTTTAATAACCAGCTTGATTTTAGGAATGACTTCTCTAATAAGAGTTCAGTTACTTAACTTGAAAGCTTCCTCCAATTTCTTCAGCATGATTTTATACAATAATTCTTCCCTAATAGTGCCCGCTACACTGTGTTTTACAGTTCAGCCTGACCAAAAAAAACCCTTAAATTGTACTAGTTACTATTGCTGCCAC